TCTTCTCTATCGACACGTTCATTATACAAGCTCCCCACTGTTTTCGATGCATAAGTAACCAGCTCTCTATTTTGTTATTTAATTCTTTCTTTCTACACGTGGGTGAGCTGACTCCAGACGGCTCAAATTGGACCCATTGGAAGCACAAAACAAAGCAAGTAGGCTTACTCCGCCATCACCGGCTAATTTCACAGCGCGGCGCTAATGAGGAAAGCCTGTGTTAAAGTGACAGACGGAGCCATAAGCCGAGATCTGGGTCATATTTCCAGGCAAACTATTATTTAAAGATGGAAAGGGGAGAGCAGGCGAGGGGAACGACGTGGCGTTGGTTTCGTAAAGGTGATGGAGTGTCTGCAGGTAGACAATTAGGAGTGAAGGGGGGAGGCCTGTTCAGTATTCAGGAAGCAGCAAATGTCTGTTCTTCGGGATTTGTCCATGACCTGCTATATGCTAATGACTTCTCAGAGGCATCGGTCCCAAAGGCGGACTCACTCAATTAGTATGTGTGTCGGATAAGGGTTTTTGATCGTACATAGTATTCGTATATCATGCCATGCAGTAGAAGAGGCAAGCCAAAGGTACTTCTCACTCTCAAATACATTTATATGAGGAAATATCCAGTGTTAAAGAGATGCAGATCTGCCAGTGTCAATATTTAGAAAGGGAACGTTTTTTGTAGCGACCAGATCGACAAAAGGCAAGTCAAAGGTAGATACAGTATATACAGTAGATGAATGAAATAATACATTTTATTTTGGTCACTTTGACACAATTTCACAGGACGGTAAATTACTGCAGAGCCAAAAAGGAATAAGCTGATGCGCATTTGGCCTACACCTTTTTTCACAAGTGTCATAAGTATAAACAAGTGTATATAAAAGCCTTTAAATGAGCAGCTATATCAATATCATATGGATGGAACGATAGATAACTTCTTTACAGATTGCAGTCCAGATCAACACAGACACAGACAAAAGTGCCTCACAAAAACAGAAAAAGAAACCATTACAATCACAGAGGAGATAAAAACATGATCATAATGAATTGTTGAAAGGAGGGACCACACACAGGCCTCAAACTGGACTCAGGTTCGACTCGAGCCGCTGTGGTTTGGTCCATCCACATTTTCCCTGAATTCCAGCCCTTGTTCTAGACTTGTACTGTCTCAAACTTAAAATCAAAGTTCACCTGAATTATATAAAATAGCAGGAAATAAAGCAGTTCAGTAAAACTTCAGCTGGGAGCGATATTATAGATCTGTTTTACTTTTTCATGATGTGGAAAGCCTTTACTTTAAATTTGTATTCTGACCGTTGGATCACCGAGGCGATATACACCTTTCTCCTTCATATATTTTTACAGCAGTTTGCAAAAGCACTAATACAACACATTTTGCCAGGTTACGACCACAATACAAGATGAGTAATTTCTTTGGGGAGTTCACTCTGTTGCTGAAATCTCATGTATTTTGGGGAAAGACTTTGACCGGACCATTCTAACATGTTTTGTTTTAAACTATTCCATTCCCAGAGGTTTCTCTCTTTTCTCACGGGGGTTAGAGTTTTATTTTGCAGATGCAGGAGTCTGTTAGAGCCTTGTGAGGTCCATCCAAAAGGACTGTGGTGATGATACTTATGGACCAACACCAATTTGTGTGACAAATTTTCTGTTTTTTTTGTTGTGATTTTGGTCTATATGATACGATACGATAAGATAAATAAGATGGATGGAAGCAAAACATATAGTCTGTGCAGGATATGTATATTGTACAATAAAAAATGGCAATTAGAGAAACAGTGGCAATAGTAGTGCAGGTTTTTTCAGTCCAAGTGCAAGTGACTTAAAGTGACTTATTGTACACTTAACAATTCACAAGAATAAACTTAAACCTCCATCCTTTTTCTCCAACACCTTCATATCCACCTCCACCTTCCCACGAACCCTTGCACTCTTCCCTGTCCTTCAAATGACTACAGTAAGTTGAATTTCTATTTCGTATAAAATAGGAACTAAAACTCTACTCCACCACAGTGACTGCAGACTTTCATTAAACATTACAGTCTTGACAAGAGAATAGACCTTATCGGTTCTCGCCCGAAGCCTAAAAACTACTGGAGACTTTGCAAACTTGTCTCTTTTGGGAGTGAGAGTCTCTGGGGTGTGGCGCGCTGCACAGAGGACGCTGGATGTAGCGGGATTAGCTCTGCACACGGAGCCTCTTCTCCAACGCTGCTGTAATTATCCCAAATAGTGTCTGCCGGGGCCCTCCTCATCCCACGGGACCCCCCACAGTCTGGGCTCTGACCCAACTCTATCCTGTTAGCGCCTTTGGTTAAAGCAGCAGCTACAAAACCACTATTCAGGGAGCTCCAGGATGAAAGTAGAAGCAAAAAAGAAAAGTTTAATGCTTGAGTTAATGGGTTTAGTCGATGCACCTGCAGCAGAGTGTGATTAAAGCCCGGGTACCTAACTTTCTGGTTAATTGATTATGAAATACCAGCGTTTCAGATGTATGTAAGGAATGACATTTGTGAATTAATTACTACAGATTGGGTGTGTTCACTGCAAAAAATTATAAAATATGAAGTAATAATTGTTTGAATCAATTTTTGCTGTGTGTCTCTTCTTTTGTGGAGGGGATTGGATTAATATAAGTTTTTGTGCTTTCTTGTTTTCTCTTTTTATCATATTTTCCTGTTTGTATTTGGTGCAAGTTTAAAATAAATACATATGTGTAACTGATTCTAAAATACCTTGTACAATCTGCTTCACTTCTTAACTCTGACTTGTGTTGCAGGATTTCCAACCTTGAGATCTCTCTCTCTCTCTCTCTCTCTCTCTCTCTCTCTCTCTCTCTCTCTCTCTCTCTCTCTCTCTCTCTCTCTCTCTCTCTCTCTCTCTCTCTCTCTCTCTCTCTCTCTCTCTCTCTCTCTCTCTCTCTCTCTCAAAAATCATAAATATTTATTTATTTATTGTCATTTGCTGCTAAAAAGTTCAGTCGTGATGTTTGTGATGATGACTGGATTGTGGTTGTGTGTGTTTTTGATAATGACTGGATTAATTGTGTGTTTTTTTTAGATCAGGCATAAAAAACCAGCAGATAAAAGGAGTTTTATAGACCTGTGCGAGTCCATAAACATATTTTTCTCTTTAGCAGTTGTATTTAACATATTACTGTTTGTTGTTGTCTGTTTTTAATGCTTCATATGGAGCTTTTATGTCTCTCTAATAAATACAAATTGAATAGAAGCTTTATCTATAGTTATTGGCCTCTTCTAAACCAGACGATGTTATTATCTTGACACGTTTCGACAGCATCCTCTGGAAATAACATCACTACTTTACATTTGTCTGCTATAGAAGAAACGACATAGAAATAATAACTTAATCTACCAAGAAAAGACGACTCTTCTTAAACTGTTGGTTTTATTGTCTGCGTGGAACAAAATCAGGTTCAGTATCGGTTTGGAAGAGAAATGGGAGTTGTAGTTTTAAAGTGTTAAATGTTAAATTGTGTAAGAATCAGTGGCCCGAGAAGTGTCCTTCTGAAAACCTCTCTCTTGTATGATAATAATGCAATATCGTTTGTGTTGTTTATAATTTGCAGAAGTCAATCTGTTCACTTTTATTGTTCAAAGTTTGTCGATAAAGTTTAGTGGTGACGTTACTTCCTGTTTACAAGCCCTGTAACGGCACAGAGCTCCGCTAGTTGCAGCCATGGATCTATTATAATAACTGGATAGGGTATTACAGCTTGTAGCTGAATAACTCATGTGCTCGGGGGATTCTCGTGGTACTGAAGACTGAACCAGACTAAATTCACGAGGGTTACCCAGACATTTTCCCCATAGAACTCAATGCATATTAAAACCTCAGCTGACAGAGAACCTGACAGAGAACCTACAGCTTTCATAAAGGTCGGATTTTGTGGGGATTTTAGTGTCCATTGTCATCCTGAACTTTTTTTCTTCTTAAATCCTTGCTTGTCTGGCTCTCGCTCTAACTCCCGCTCTGATAAACTGCTCTGATTGGTCAGAGCGCGGCCGAGCCCCTCTGTGCACGTGCGTGTTTGGCGCAACGCATGTCGTAAGTAACTGGGACATGATTAGATACTTATATTTGTGTGAATCAAAGTTTATTTAATTAAAAAATTGCAGTTAGTTCATTTGAAATACATGGTTAAGTTTTGCTAAAATGTGCTATGCTAAAATGTGCTATGCTAAGAGAAGCTGCATTTGTAGTATTCCTGGTTAAAATTATCATTTATGTGAAACTGAATATTTCTTGTTCTTCTGTATTTTTATGCAGTTTTCACTCCATGTTATGGTGAAAGAGTCTTCACAGTAAAAAAACTAAATACTACGTCGACTCGTCTCGACTCATGAATGGAGCTTGGTGTTTTGTCCACGGTTCCTACGCCTTGAGAAGAACATTAAAGCGTTATTTGTGGACACTCAAAGATGCTTCTCATGTCATTATCCTCTCTCTCCAAACACGGTGGTGATAAACTCCTGTAGCCACAGCTGCCCTGGGGCACACTGACAGAAGCGAGGCAACCAGTCTGTGCCGTCGGCCCCTCCCACCACCACCAACCATTCACACACACACCAGACTCATTCTAATGTGGGGGAAGTGTCTTGCCTAAAGATACAACCACAGTTTGCCACTTATGTTTATACCACAAAGACCTAAAAACGATTCCAAAAATGCTAAATGTTGCGTCCGTGACTCATGAAGCTTGAGCAGAAGTTCAAATTAGTGATTACCTACGACACTCCCCGGGCCAACACCTTCCTCTGCCTCACATCAGCTTCAGGAGTGGATGAAGCTGATGTGAGGCAGAGTGGATAGCACTCTCGCTTCTCAGCAAGAAGGTCCTGGGTTCGAATCCCGGCCGGAACAGGGCCTTTCTGAGTGGAGTTTGCATGTTCTCCCCGTGTCTGTGTAGGATTCCTCCGCGGGCTTTGATGGTCCAATGTGTTCAGCGTCTCCTCCTCTACCTCCTCCTCCTTCACCTCCTCCACCTCCTCCTCCACCAACTCCACCTCCTCCACTTCTTCCTCTAGTTCGACCTCCTCCTCCACCACCTCCTCCAAACCCTCCTCCACAACCTCCACCTCCTCCACTTCTTCCACCTGCTCCCCACCTCCACATACTTCACCTCCGCCTCCACCTCCTCCACCCCCTCCTCCACTTCTTCCACGTCTTCCACCTGCTCCCCACCTCCACCTTCACCTCCTCCACGTCCTCCACCACCGCTTCCACCTCCTCCACGTCCTCCACCACCTTTTCCCCCTCCTCCCCACCTCCGCCTCCACCCCCTCCTCCACTTCTTCCACGTCTTCCCCCTCCTCCCCACCTCCACCCCCTCCACATACTTCACCTCCGCCTCAACCTCCTCCACCCCCTCCTCCACTTCTTACACGTCTTCCACCTGCTCCCCACCTCCACCTTCACCTCCTCCACGTCCTCCACCACCGCTTCCACCTCCTCCACGTCCTCCACCTCCTCCTCCTCCTCCACTTCTTCCACCTCCACCACCTCCTCCCCTATTCCTCACTCTCTCACGTCCACCTTGCCCTGTTCCCACCAGTGTCTAGGCCCCGGGGGGACCATGCTCCACATCGAGCACAGACCCTCACAGAGCCACAGCCGGGGTCTATTTCCAACAAACTAATAAACTACAAACAAAACTCACAATCAATAAATCTATTAAACACATCTCGTCTCCTGAGTCTCTCCAGATTCAACAATAAAACATGAACCGTGATGTTTATTCATACAGACAGTCTGAAGGCACCGAGTTGGTTTTTCCAGGTCAGTAATCAACTGGTAAGTAAGCCATGAAGAACGTGTGGTAATGACAAAAATGATTCTCTGGAGATATTTCACGTTGTGAGATTTCATAACACTTTGAAGCAACTTTTGTTAAAGTTAAACTCATCAATCTATCAATGTGCAGAAGCCAGTACTTTTCCCTTGTTTTGTCTATCTGAAGGCCAAGCTACATGGCACCGTGGAAGCTGCTGATTGGAGGTCTCCATGCCTCCGCTCTGTATAATACACTTGCATTCTATTGTATCTGTGATTGTGTGCTTTGATCGTGCTGTCTCTACCATCGACAATAAAACATGTCTTCTGTCTGAATTTAAGACGCGATCCCAGACTTTGTCATCTTCTTCAGGTGGTGGAAGGATGCGGGCCTTGTCTGTAACATCTAGTGAACAGAAGACTACTTTTTTTTTTACACAAAAAGTGTTTTTTTTTTAAGCCAAAACTGAGAAACCTCAAGAGAATGCATCTGGATCAGCACACATGGACAAAACGCAATGAGAGCAATCACGACGCCGTTTCAGCAATCCTTCCAAACTGTGCCTGAACGAGCACTAAACGTCTTGAATATGTTAAATTACCACTCGCAAGTGAACGATCTGCGTATTCTCAATGACACCGGTCCAATTGATTACTGTTTTAACGTATGGCTCCACGCTCCGACACTATTTCACTATTTCAAGAGCTTTCCTTTCCTTTGATTGTTTTTCCGTAATTGTTTCAAAGCGAGACGGTTGTGGATAAAGAAAGGGGATGTGAAGGACCATCCATCTGCATGTGTGTCATTAAGAAGAAGAATGTTGTTTCATTGATCGCCACCGGGACAGAACATCTGATTAAGGTTTCTACTTTCTTTTTTTTCTTTACCAATAGCTGCTCTTGTAATTGCTGTGACTTCATTGATTACGGTTCTTAATGAGGGACATGTGAGTAAGCGACACATACTGTACAATAGTATATGTTGGTGCTGGGACTCTGAGGAGCACAGGGACTGGCCTCCTGCTGGGACTCTGAGGAGCACAGGGACTGGCCTCCTGCTGGGACTCTGAGGAGCACAGGGACTGGCCTCCTCCTGGGACTCTGAGGAGCACAGGGACTGGCCTCCTGCTGGGACTCTGAGGAGCACAGGGACTGGTCTCCTGCTGGGACTCTGAGGAGCACAGGGACTGGCCTCCTGCTGGGACTCTGAGGAGCACAGGGACTGGCCTCCTGCTGGGACTCTGAGGAGCACAGGGACTGGTCTCCTGCTGGGACTCTGAGGAGCACAGGGACTGGCCTCCTGCTGGGACTCTGAGGAGCACAGGGACTGGCCTCCTGCTGGGACTCTGAGGAGCACAGGGACTGGCCTCCTGCTGGGACTCTGAGGAGCACAGGGACTGGCCTCCTGCTGGGACTCTGAGGAGCACAGGGACTGGCCTCCTGCTGGGACTCTGAAGCGCACAAGGACTGGACTCCTGCTGGGACTCTGAAGCGCACAGGGACTGGACTCCTGCTGGGACTCTGAAGCGCACAGGGACTGGTCTCCTGCTGGGACGTTTATAGTTTATACATTTCACCACATTAGAATATTTTTGTCTAAGTCCTGCCCATCCCTCCAATACAGAGTGGTCAATTTCTTTACCTGAGTATATTCTGATGGTCCAAATTTTGCACTGGGAGCCAACATCGCGCTGGCACAGGATTCAAACCCACAACCTTCAGGCTGTAGCGCACCACATATACAGGCAGCACCACTGCGTATCAATACATAATGAGCCACATGGATTATCAAATACAGCAGACACGAAGCATGTCATGTCCTCTTCAAAGACTTCCTACATCTGACCCACCATTGTAGCCATTAGCATTAGCCGCTCGCTATAAAAACACATTAAACACACATTAAGTCCCATTAACCCCCCATTTATTCTCCTTGTTGCTACTTCATAATTACCCCGAGGCGTGGGTCTGTTGAGTGACGACAAAGGTGGTTCGACGAGCGCTCGGGAACACATTAGTTGCGTGTACTTTGTTTGTTTTAATGACTGAAATGGCGCAGAGTTGAGAGGAAGCTGCACTTCAGGGGTCAGCTCATAACCAGACCCTCGTGTGTGGCCCCCGACAAAGTTCCATCTCATTGTGTAGTCATTTAGCGATTGCCTTTCATAAACAGCTTTTAATTGCCCTCCAGAATAATGCCATAATGTATTTGAAGTGTTGACCAGATGCATTAAAAGTATGTCATTTATTAACTGGCTAATATAACTTGAAATGCAGCAAAAACAGTTGTAAATGCTCGCTAATGACCGGAATGAAGTGTGTTTCCATGGTAACTAGCACTAGCAGCAGTTCGCAAGGGTCATTCCTGAATTTATTAGCAAGATGACAGAAAAAAACTATATATAGGAAGAGAAAAATGTCATGTATGAATGAGTCTGGTGTGTGTGTGAATGGTTGGTGGTGGTGGGAGGGGCCGATGGCACACACTGGTTGTCTCGCTTCTGTCAGTGTGCCCCAGGGCAGCTGTGGCTAAGAGTTAATCGTCTTTGAGTGTCCAAAAAAGTGCTATATAAAACAGATGCATTATTATTATCATTATTATGTACACAATCCAAGCAATAACAGTTTCTAAACAAAATGCCGTCAAATTGACTGCTCTGGGTGTTATACAGTTATAAACATCAATGCAGTGTTTGAAGGCAGAGAAATAGACAGACTCATAAACTGGCTGTAGATATTTCTCACGTCAAGTATGGTCTCGAAGGTCGTGAGTCTCGGTCCGGTCTCTTCACTGTGAGTGTGTGAATTCCAGAACTCTGAAATGCTCTTTGAACTGGTCTCCACTTTCTGGACTTGGAAAACTTAAGAACACCCGAGGATAAGGCTAGAAGCTTCTACACTACTGCCCTCCATGTCTGCTTCAGAAAGGCCTTCTTCCTTCTCCTCTTCTTCTCTCCAAAGTAAAGTATGGGTTATAGATTCCAGAAGAGCAATTTGTCTTCTGCATTCGACCCATTCTGTAAAACCACATGCACTATACAGACATTTATCAACATTTATGGACATTAGTCTCTGCCCCTTATGGACCAATACCAATGTGTTTTCTCTTGGATTTCTTGTGTTTGAACGGTTTGATTCTCTGATCTGTGTTTCTGCGATTTCAGTTTTGTAAAGTCCTCAGAGATAACTACTGTTGTGATTTAGGACAATACAAGGATAAAATATCAGTATAAAGCACCGCCTGATGTTGATCAGTCATAGGCACTGCTAAAAAGAACTGTTTTCAGCCTGGACTTGAATGAAGCCAATGGAGCTTCCCACTCTTTCAGGAAGATTATTCCAGATTTTAGGTCCAAAAGAGTTATTCCTGCAGGCTGTCTTATTTGCAAAATAAAACTATTTTAGGTTATGGGACATTTCAGTGTTGCGCCATCATCAAGCACACAAGACGACGTGCAGGAATAATTCTCCACACATCAAGTTGTCATAACCAAATGTCTGTAGCTGCCAAATACAAAACTGTAGTAGTATCTAAGTAAAATCGTGACTCCCAGGGATCCGTCGTCCTTTTGATATAGAAGTCAAAAGGTTTTCTAAGATAAGATACTGCAGGATATATACAGCAACTACACTTTTATAAGACTCTCAACTAATTTAGGGTCACTACCTTTGATAAAAAAGGCAGAAAAGACCTCAAACAATCTTATTCCAGCAGCAACTTTTCATTCCATCAATAATATATGTTTGAAAAGTCAGAATTCTATTGATTGCGCGTTTGGCTTTTGCTGCTACAGTATTTGAGACCACCCCTCCTTCTGCTAATCCTTTAAAAGCGGTCTTCGTGCGTTGTGTTGTTTCCAGCTGGTCTGGAGTCAGTTACAGTTTGGCGGAGGAGTTTTGACAGCGGTGACACGCACACTGCTCCTCAAAGACCTCCCTGTCAGACGCAGCGCCGCGGACCTGCCATTAAATATGAAATATGACGAAGAGGGAGGAACGCTGGAGTGAGGAAGCTAAACGGGCGGTGACAGAGCAGAGCAGGTACCGAAGTCTTCAGAACCTCAGACAGACACAGACGAGCAGAGAGACAGTGGACTGGTCTCAGAGAGACGCAGACGAGCAGAGAGACAGTGGACTGGTCTCAGACAGACGCAGACGAGCAGAGAGACAGTGGACTGGTCTCAGACAGACGCAGACGAGCAGAGAGACAGTGGACAGGAATGACGTTGGAGGTATTAGACAGATTCTAGGTGGTGTCAGTGGTTACAGTTTTTTCCTGTTGCTTGAACACTATAGACATACGCTTAGACCAAAGTTGCAGAACTTGAAGCTTTTGTTCTAAACCTAAAACACAGACTGACCATGTTGCATTGTTATACGTGCTGTGGAGGTGATAGTGTTTTTGATTCCTTGTACTTTGTCATCGAAAAACTGTGCGAACTCATTACACCTAGATTTAGAGGAAAATTCTAGGGGCAACTTTACAGGGGGGTTCGTTAATCTACCAACTGTTGAAAACATAACACGAAAATTGTTACTGCAACCTCCAATAATGTCAGAAAAAT